GGCGGCTATTCCAGCGCCCAGGGTTTTCATTTTTTTTAAATTTCTTCAATTCTAGACTTCTGGTCTTTTACATCTTCATCGCCCCTGTCCTTGCTTGCGAAAGGACGGAATAGACGTCTCAATGCATTGGATCCCTGCACATTCCGGCATCCATCTCAACGAGGCGGCCAACTCTGCGGCTAAAGCACTCACCCTCCCTGATTCTCCTGAACCAGAGACCATAACAGTCAAAGCCAGGACAACCGCAGCTCGACAAATGCTGACAGCGCTCCCCGCCGCAGAGACCAATGCAGTCGACCCGGCAGTGCCAGAAACCCATGCCAGGAAGATATATGACCCCCTCTCCAGAAAGGATGCCGCGATTGTATCCCAGCTACGAACCGGCCATTGCAGATTAAATACATACCTTAGAAGGGTGAGAGCGGTGCCGTCCGACCTCTGTGAGTGTGGACGCGGGCCAGAGACCATACAACATTACCTTTTCAACTGTGCGATGTGGACACAACATCGAAGAGAACTGGCGGATGCCACCGAGTTCACGCCCAACAGCCTTCCCCGTTTGATGGGCTTTCGACCAGAACAGGAGGAACGTGAGAGTTGGAGACCAGACCTAACGGCAATCAGAGCGCTTATTGGGTTTATCAAGAGCACAGGAAGATTCGCCCGCAAAGATACTGACCTGAACTAGCCTCTAAAAGCACACCCCCTTCTTACGTAGCTCACTCCATCAAGCCCCCGATCTATTGAGAAGTGCTATTCCCAGCCGCGTAGCCGATCAAGAAACCCGGCACTCGAGAAACCTGCCCTCGAGAACAAGTAGACCCTCAGCATTTTAACAATTAACATTTAGGATCATTCCGACTGATCGGAGCTAAAGATAACTGCAGTCACATAAGAGCCTGGTTTTCCCCAATAAAATATGAGTCGTGTGCCCCACTGCCTAAATGTACATTAGAACTTAGCTGTAGCCCTGCATAGCCGCTAGGCTGAAAGGGGAACGGAATAATGCATACATACATACATACATCTTCATCGCCAGTCACTGATCTTTGAGCAGCCACTTCTTTTTAGCATTCAGCTCCTTCTTTTAGTCAGTGTGGCACCCTTGTAATGAGATTGTCCTACGAGTGATTATATTTGCGTATAACCTTATCATTAAAAATTAAATGAATTTTCTGGCTTATAATTCAATGGTGGCGGATGGACAGGCGTACTCAAGGAACATGACCGTGCCTGGATTGATGGCGTTCTGCTGAAGTTCATAGCGGGGTTTTACCTTGGATCATCGCCAGAGATCTGCAAATGCGGTCATCAGCCTGCAGCGGTATGGTAAGATGGACGATGGTTTGTGATTTGGATGGTTGGCGGGCCCACTCTGGTTTGAAACATTACGAGCGTAATACCGAACCAGCATTGATTGATTGATTGATTGATTGATTGGATCAGCTACCCTGACCTCTCCCTCATCGGGATATGCAGGCTACCACTATTACAGCTACTCTCATCTATCCTTTCTAGTCTAATTACATGCACGATCTTAATGCCTCGTCAGGGCCTGTGGCTGATCTACTCTAGTTGTCTCTGCCTTGGAATCTTTCCGAGCTCTCAGCGAAGTCTAGGGTCGCATTGAGGTCTCCCCTACTGATTTTCCATTTCGTCCCATTTACTGTCCAGTTTGGTGGTTTGCCCCCTAGCATCAGTGAGATATTGTTGAACCTGACCCCAATCTTTTGTCGCAGAACCTGGCGTTGTTGCTGCAGTCTCGGGCAGTCTACTAGGACGTGATGGACCGATTCTTTTGCTCCACATTCACATTTGTTGTCGTCAGTGTATTTTATTCGGTTTCGGTATTCATTCAGCCATGAGTGGCCCGTTCTGAGTTGCGCCAGGAGTCTTGCTCGAGGCCTTGGAAGTGTGGCATATAGGCGGCGGGTGTGTTGGCCCGGGAGGGCAGCGTCGATCTTCCGCAGGTGAGTCCCCTTTGCCGTTGAGGACCATTCATCTCTCCACTCCTGTGTGGTGCTGTTGCGGCTGGCTTCCCTAAGGTGTGAGGCCGGCTTTGGGAAACCATGCGTTGGGTTTGGGTTGATTGACTGTTTGGCGAGCTGGTCGGCCATTTCATTTCCCTTGATTCCACTGTGTCCTGGTACCCACTGTAGGCAGAGGTCTACGCCTATGGATTTCAGCTGTTTTGTTGTGTGCAGAATGTTCTGGACTATCTGTCCTCCGACTTGTTTTGAGGAGTTTGCAATGGCTCGAAGAGCGGCACGGGAGTCGCTGAGGATGGTGTATGTGTGGCGCTGGTGGTGGGTCAGTGTCCCCTCACTCGAGTGAGATCTCCATACCAGGTATAGTCCATGGTATATCGCTAGCAGCTCAGCCGTTGTCACATTCCCGTGCTTTTCTCGCCCAACACCAACTTGTATGCCATACCGGATGCGGTATGAATTGTCCATGATCAGCGCTGCTGCTCCAAGCGCCGAGTTCTCCTTTGCGGCATCGGTGAAGACTGCCTTGGTTGGGTTCTCCATTGCTTTCGTGGCTCTCTCGATGGCCCTGGCCCTGTCGGAGTCGAGGTAGATGCCTTTGAGTACTGGTTTCTGCCATGGTTCCGGGGGGCATGGATCGATTGTCTCTATTGGTTCCAGCTCCTCTCTGTGGAACATTCTCATCGTGTCCTCTAGTGGGTAGTAACGTCTGTTTCCATTGCAGGTTGCCCCTGCCATGGCCCTCCTGAGGGGCCCATGTATCGGGTGAGATTGTGGGAGTGTGCGGAGGCCGATGACAACATCCCGGGCTCGCTGTCGCAGCCGGGCGCGTAGGGGGGGGATGTGCGCCTCCATTTCAAGGGTTTGTGTTGCCACCGTTCGGAATGTGGACAGGATCCTGACCAGGGCCGTTCGCTGGACCTTGGTGAGAGCCTTGATTTGTGTGGCTCCCTTTAAGGGGTTGTACCATACTGTGGAAGCGTATGTCAATTTGGGGACTACGCAGGCAGTGTAGAGCTGCCTCATTTGTTCTGGCCGTAGGTGGGACAGGCGTCCGATGGCGACACATGTGTTGGTGGCCCTCTTGACCATATATTGTGTGTGTGTTTTCCAATTTAGTTCCTGGTCAAAGTATACTCCCAGGAGCTTGACCACTGGTGAAGGTGAGATGGTGTGTCCATTCATCGTGATGGACCCCGTTGTTTGGTCTCTTTTTCTTCCAGTGAAATGGATCAGCTCCATCTTCTCGGCCGAGAACCGTGAGCCAGTCCGTCTCGCCCATTCTTCGATTCTAGGGATATCTATCCGTTGGATCTTTTGCAGATTACTTTCTGCGTTTGGTCCGGTTCTCCAGCGGAAATAATCATCTATAAAGGCGGATGCACCTCCGTTGTGGTCTACCGGTTGGTCGACCAGGTCCGAATTGAAGATGGTGAAGAGGATTGGGGAGAGGGGAGATCCTTGAGCAAGGCCAGCGTTAGGAAGCGAGGCTACCTCGGTGCTGAAATCGTCGAATTTTATATTGGCGGACCTGTTTTCCATGAAGCTTTGAACCCATCTGCGCATTATCTGAGGGATTCCCATCTCTCTGAGCCTGGCCTCCAATGTGTCTTTATTTACCCCATTGAAGGCCCCTTTGATATCAAAGGAGACTAGGGTCAGGACCCTACCACGTTTCCGGGCCTGGTCGATGGCGCTGGCCAGGATTAGAAGTGCCTGTTCCGTAGTTCTGCCTGGTCTGGCCCCGAATTGTGCGTTTGGGAGGAGGTTATATTTCTCTGTGTAGTATGTAAGGCGTTTCGCCATCACTCCCTCCAGAACCTTTCCCAGTGTGTTGAGGAGTGAGATCGGGCGGTATGCTCCAGGGGCCGTGTAGTCCGGTTTCCCAGGTTTCCGTAGTACTACAATCACCGCAGTCTTCCATCTTGTTGGGTAGTGTCCCAGTCTGATTGATGCTTCGAAGATCTGATGTATGAGTTTCGACAGGTATTTCCATAGATTCTTCCACACTAATGCTGGGAGACCGTCATTCCCGGGGGCTGATTTGCTTTTGGTCCTCGCCAGTGTTGCCTGGATCTCTTCCTCCGTGATCGGTTCCCAAGGCAGTTCCTCCCGGGTGTGGGTAGGTGGCGCTCTCGGTGAGAATGTAGCTGGAGGAAAGAAGCTGTTCAGTAGTATTTGAGCTTTGTCTTTGTTGTCTGTATGTTCAGTGTCCTCAACCACCAAGGGGGGAATGTTGGCGTAATTGTCTGAGGGGCAGATGTATCCTGCTGCTTTCCAAAGGTGGTTGCCCGCGCTCGCTTTGTCGAGGAATTCTTTCCAGTGTTCTCGCTTGGTTTTCTCTATTGTTCGAGTCCATTCCCTGCGCTTCCGCAGCGCTTCCGTGTGTAGGGCTTGGGTGGCTGGGTGGTCGCTTCCCCACTCAACGCAACTAGCCTGCCACCTCCTTCGGCTTCTGTTGCACTCGGACTGCTGGATTTTCAGGTCTCGGCTGAACCAGCGTTTGGCGTAAGGAGATGGTCTTGCGTGCGGGGTGTGCTTGTCTATTTCTGCTATTGTCGTTGCGATTAATCTGCCAACTATTCCATCCAGCTGAGTTGTTGACTCGATCCGCAGTATAGGGATCGCCTTCTCTACAGCTTTGCCAATCTCTTCCCAGTTCGTTTGGTCGAAAAGCCTTCGTGGCTGGTTTGGATCTTTCTGTTTCAGTTGCAGATCCCATTCTGAGTAAATCGCTAGGTGGTCGGAACCATAGTTGTCTCGGTAGGGATGGCATTTGAGTAACTGATGTGGGACGTTGCTGAGTGTGAGGTCGAGTGTGGAGCATGTGCCTGGGTGGCTCGCTGACCAGTAGGTGACAGTACCAGGTGGGAGACAGCTATGGAGTTCTTGAGCCTGTATGAAGTCCAAGAGGCCCCCGGTGTCTCGGGTTCGTCTTCGGTTCACCTGGATTCCACCCCACATCTGATGATGTCGGTTGAAGTCCCCTGCGATGATCAATGTGGTTGCGGGCGAGAGCCGGATTGTCCGGCTGATTTCGTTTAAGGTCTGGTGTATCGGGTTGTCCGCCGGGTCGAATGGCGGGATGTATGTGGAGAAAATTAAGATCTGGCTTTCTCCTATCTGGAGCTCGATCGCTGTGACATCTGGGCTGTGGCACCGCCTTTGCCGGTATGCCGAGGTTGATATGCGCTTGTTGACATATATTAGACTGCGCCCTGTGGCGTGTGTTTCAGTGCATGATGTTTGAAACACCCTCCAGTGTGGGTGTTGTATTGGTGTTGTATAATATGTGAAGGGGGGTTCTTGTACGAGTAGCACCTCCAGATCTCCAATTTTGCGGTCATTGAGGAGTGCTTCCATGGTCGGACGTTTTTTGTTGGCGTTCAGTTGTAAAATCCGCAGTTTCTGTGTTAACATTGAAGGCTGGTGATATTGGCTCTCGATTTGCACTCTGTTGCTCCTGTCGGGTGGCGTTCTGCGCAGTCTGCGCATTTAGGCGTCGATTCTCGAGGGCAGTTAGCTGTGTTGTGCTCTCACGTGCTGAAACCACATCATAGTCTCTCTTTGCAGTTCCAGGCCAGGTGGCCGAAGGCCAGGCATCTGTGGCATCATTTCTTCTTGATCTGATATGCCTCAATGCTGCCTATATATCGATGTCCAAACACCCATTCCATTGTTTACCGCCCATTCGGCAGCTTCCGCACTATCAAACCATATTCCAAGTGACGCCGACGCGCCCAGGGTGGATTCCTTCTTCTTGAGCCACGCGATTTCTTCTACCTTGTATCCCTTTTGGGCGAGCTCATTTTCCTCTGTTATCTTCTTCATGCTTTGTGGTTTGTCCTCAGTGTCGACTTCATGCGTGGGTGTCCGGTGTACTACCACACCAAATCTGGGTCTGACCAGCTTCGTTTGGTTTCCCAGGTTTCGGAGCCACCCCTCGTTCACGCTGGCAGTGTCCTTGGAGGCTTCATCCCGGAAGCGTATGATGTACCCTGTTTTTGTAGTTCCTACCCCGATGATCTCGACTCCTTCGGTTGACGTGTTCTTGTGAAGGGCCTCTGTCACTCGAGCTTTGACTTCTTCCACTGGGAGGTATCTTGCAAGGGACCCTTCTTCGTTGCATATGGGGTCGGCGGTGGGGGCTGTGCTGATTCGGATGCATAGTGGAGAGTCTTTTTGGTCGCTTTTTGTAGTCGCACGTTCTGCCGTGGATGGAGGGTTTTGGGGGGGGATGTTCGTTTCATTGAGGGAGGCGATAGATGCCCATGTTCGCTGATCTGGTTTGTGCTGGAGCTGGACTTCTAGGGCAGCTATCTCGTCTTTGAGGTTTGCATTTTGTCTGATTAGCTCTTTCTGGTCTGTTTTCAGCTCTTCACAGCATGTTTTGAGGGCTTCAACTGTCTGGCTTTGCTGTGTGATTGTTCCTTTCAGCTCAGCTACCAGCCACGCGATTTCATCAAGCTTGCTTGGGCGTTCATCAGTGTTGCCGGTGAACTCGATACTTGGGGCCCCATTCAGCCGGGCGGCCGTGACAGAGTCGGTTTTTTTTCCGCTTGCGAGTCGGTTTTCGTGTTTTTGGTTGGGTCGCGGGTAGGTATTGTGGCGGACGTAAAGCTTGCGAAAACAGAATTTTCTGCCACCCCCTGAAAAATAGTAGCAAAACACTGCAAAAATAATCAAAATATCCACATATCTCTAGAATCATTCAAATATCATTCAATTCATTCAAATACGCACCTTTATCATCAAATCTGCCAATATCCCCCCCCAGCTCAGCGAATTTACCACCAATGAGATCGTACGCCTTCTAAATGATGGTTATATGCCTGCTCAGATTGCGCGGACCATTGAGTGCAGTCTGGCCACTGTATATCGAATCCAACGAAATATTCGCTGCTTTGGAACTGCTAGAAGTCCTCGTTCAACATGGGGTGTAAAGCCAAAGATCACACCGGATATCTTGTCAGGTTTGGAGGACTTTTTTGAGGCATATCCAACTGCATATCGCGATGAGGCTGTCTGCTTTGTGAAGGATGTCTGCTTTGTGAAGGATGAATTTGATGTTGATATCCACCCTCATTCTTACCTCCATATTCTCCTGATTATAATCCTATAGAGGAGTCATTTCACGCGTTGAAAGAATGGATTAGAAGATACAGATGTCAGTTAGAGAATCAGTTTGATGGGGATTTTGAAGCCTTCTTGCATCATGCAGTTGAGAATTTCATGGGAGAAGAAGATGCAAGAGGATATTTCAGATCTGCTCATATAGGATAGTATTGTAAAATTTAAAAAGATTCAGATTGCAATTCAATTATGATGATATATAATATCTAAGTTTCAAATTCAGAAGCAGAAGCAGTATGAGGTCTGCTGTCATCATTACAAACAGCAGATAAAGACAATTTAATCTCCTTCAACTGTGACTGCCAGATAGGACTCTTTAACCCATTTCTTATTATCGAGAATATACCCATTCCAATATTCAACTGAACCACCTGCTCATTTGTCATTGTCCGTATATGATCCAGTTCAAATCCTTCATTCTGAATAATGCTCTTTGCAGTTAAAAGAGCTTCTGCTCTTCGAGGTCTCTCTGTCATCAACCAGTTGAAGAACTCATCAATAAACAGATCCGCATGTTCACCAAACTGAGGGATTGGACTACTTCGAATAGGAGGCAGGTTCGGATTCGATGGCAGGTTCGGATTCAATGGCAGGTTCGGATTCGATGGCAGGTTCGGATTCGATGGCAGGTTCGGATTCGATGGCAAGTTTGAATTTGATGGCAAGTTTGAATTCGATGACAAGTTTGAATTTTGATGGAAGTTTAGAATTCGATGACAAGTTTGAATTCAGTCCTCCCATGCCTTCCCATTCTTTCATCATATATTTCCTCACCATCCCAATGGTATA